GACCAGGCTTTTGTTGCGGGACGCCTCGGGTAGAGCAGCTGGGGTGCTGCCGGGTTGGTCCTGTGGGAACCTACCGGGCAGCGCCCCAGCTGTTCTGTCCCAGGCTCCAGATTCAGCAGCTGTTGAAACTGATCAGGCTGATTCCAGGAAGCTGGGGGCAGAGCAACTCTGCCTCCGGCTTCCTGTAGTCAGCCCCTGGTCAGTTTCAGTGGCAGCAGCTGAATCTGGAGCCAGTTCCGACTTACATACAAATTCAACTTAAGAACAAACCTATAGTCCCTATCTTGTACGTAACCCGGGGACTGCCTGTATTGTAGAAGAGAGATCCATATAAAAAGGGGAAAAGGCATCTGTAAAATAACGTACATAGTGGTGTAGTATAAAGGTATACACACTCACAACACTTCCTGCATAGCTCACAAGTCATAATATGCTTCATGTTTCATGAATGATGGAGTTAATTTAAATTCAGGCTGAATTAAACATTTTTTGTAGTTTTAGCTGATAACTTATTTATCACCATCACATATTCAGCATTAAAAATGTGTTTCAGAATTCAATTTTTATATTTTTATCATTTTGATTTTCTTTAAAGCACCTTTTATTCATTTAAATTTTCCATGGCTGTTGAAAACTTGGAGGGGGGTCAGACAATCATTGTTTAATGACAGGAGACATTGAGATTCAAAAAGGAAAGCGTTAACTGTTAAAACACAAATTGTCAACAACACATCAGAATATGAAAAGTGTCCTTCAGTCAAACTGAGTTCTCAAACTACATTGGTCTTACTTTACCTATCTGTAAATTTCAGTTATGGATTAATTTCTTTCACTAGTTTGTGTTAGGGATGTTAAGGACTAGTCGACTAGTTGATTTCTCCCTTGCCCACCACCACTTGCTGCCTCTATCAGATAGAGGCAGCAAAGGGGGGGGGGGGGGGGGGAGAAGAGAAGGTTCTTCAAAGCGGCAGCACCACACAGCTGAGTCTGGGATCAGGTGTGCGGGCAGCACTGCCTCTCTGAAATGCTGAGGCAGTGTTCAAAGGAGTAGCGCTGCACAGTTGATCTCTGGCTGAGGTGGCGTTCAAAGGGGCAGTGCCACACAGCTGATCTTGTACATTTCAAAGGAGGAATACGGAAGTGCCTATGAAGTAGTCAACTAAATTCCATTGACTAGTCAATCAACTGTTACTTAACATCTTTAGTATGTGTATCTGTAATGATTTCAACCTTTACTAATAAATCTGGTCCCTCGAAGCCTAATTACACACAACCTCTAAAAGATTTCTGTATTTGAAATTTAAGCTATGTGGAGTGCTGAATAGCATAAACATATCTGACAGACTAATTTGTATAGTGTGAGTTTACTGGTTACATATTCTCAAATCTCAGAAATGCAGGTATACCTTGCATGATCAGTTGTTTTCTTTGCTAGTGAGTATTTCAGTGTTCAACATCAGCGTGAATACTGCAGATACTATAATGCAGGGTAGTGTGAGCATGCTGATGTCAGATGTGATAAATAACTTATTTTTTTCTTTAAAACTTTATAGTTACTTGTGGAAACAATCCATCTACCATATGTAGTTTATGTTGGTAGGAATTACCACACTGCAAGACCTTTTACATAATGGTAAACCTCTTTTTCTGGTGTGATGGCTTGTTTTCATTTAAGAATGGAATGTCACTTGAGACCTCCAACTCCTCTTCAGACAGAAAGCATGATTCCCAGATCCACAGTTAATGTTATAAACCTTGTCTGCACAGTGAAAAAGAGGCTACCAGATGTTTAATAGATATCTGGATGTTTTCCTAAGGGGATCCCAGACTGCAAAATGTAGCCTGGTTGCAAATATCTTTTAAATCTTTCAAAAATTAAATATTTGAGTAAAGGATGTATAAGGATTACTTAACATGCAGCATTAGCTAAAACATACTATTATAATTGTTTGTTTTCTCTCAGACACATAACCAAAACCACCGAATTTCTGCAAAGTACTGACTGTAGTTGTATGGTGCATCCAGTTCACTTTTTTAAACATCTTTGTGCCTGGTGTTAGTTTTCATATTGATGATAGCAAGTCATGCCCTTGTATAAATTAGTCAGACAAATGCACAACAAGACGTGACATTCTTTTTTTTAAGCTGCATACTTCAACTACTATATAATGCATTACCACCCGAAATATGTCAGTAATGTGAGCGTACACATGAATCACATATAAATAACTATTACGAGATTAAATTTAACAATAGCAAAACAACACATAATTAAGTACAGAATTAGAGTATGGATATTGTTAATAGCATACATAGCCATAAAATAAAGAGAAGGATTATAAAATACAGGACTATGTAGCACTTTAAAGACTAACAAGATGGTTTATTAGATGATGAGTTTTCGTGGGCCAGACCCACTTCCTCAGATCAAATAGTGGAAGAAAATAGTCACAACCATATATACCAAAGGATACAATTAAAAAAAATGAACACATATGAAAAGGACAAATCACATTTCAGAACAGAAGGGGGATGCGGGGGGGGGGAAGGAAGGTAAATGCCTGTGAGTTAATGATATTAGAGGTGGGGAAGGGTAGATGTCTGTGAGTTAATGGTATTAGAGGTGATAATTGGGGAAGCTATCTCGTAATGGGTAAGGTAGTTGGGGTCTTTGTTCAGCCCCCCGCGGAGAGTGTCGAATTTTAGCATGAATGCCAGTTCAGAGGATTCCCTTTCTAATACCATTAACTCACAGACATCTACCCTTCCCCACCTCTAATATCATTAACTCACAGGCATTTACCTTCCTTCCCCCCCCCTGCATCCCCCTTCTATTCTGAACACGGCTACATTTCTATCACTATTCGAGAAGGATTATGTATCTCATTTCACCTTTCAGAGTTCACTTCCACAGTGATCCTTGCAATTATGGATAATTTATTTAGACATCGACACCTAAAATAGTTTTGCAGTGTAGACATAGCCTAAATGAGTGGAGTACACTACTCCCATCAGGAAGAGAGAGAGGGGCATATGTTATGTAAAACAAATGCTTAATCATAAATGGCAAATTAATTGTAACTGCAGCTGCAATCGTGTTGTATGGTTATCTGTTTTATGCATTCAATCTTTGCAGTAGTGTTGGAGTAGTTTTTCCATAACCATGTAGCTGAATTGGATGCTCCTTACATATAGGGTTACTTGTGATCATGACAACTGATGTATTGTCCTTTTAGAATGACATCCATTTTTGATGTTCTGGTGTATTCTTAATTACTCCAACTCACCTTTATAATGTATGGATGGTTACAATGATTAGAGAACCCATAGAAGTAAGTTCTTGAAACAGGAGTCCTGGCCTGAGCCATATCTTTCTTTTGTGTCTAATTGCAAATAAATTATTAAATACAATCTGTAAAATGTAGAGATAAAAAAAGGTTTAGAATCCATTGAAAACACAATATATCTACTTTATCCTTTACCTCCATATTAGT